ACAAAGTTGGAGATCGGTTTTATTATGAAAATGATTTTAAACATACAGGATTTACACCAGGTAAACTTTAAAGAGTTTTTGAATGTTGAAATGATTCATACATATAAACCAAAATACCCAATGATAATAAGTAATCAAAAAATGATCTGAAATAAAAACAATTACAAAGTATTAATATGAAAAGTCAAGAAAACAGTACGTTTTACTGGTTTTACTTACAAAAAGAAAAAAAGTATTTCTGAAAAAAAAACATTAGATTGGTAGAAGATCTGGTTGACATATATTCAGGCATTCGATTTACCCCTGAGCTGACTTCACTAACATTATAAAAAAAAAGCTAAGAATACAGTACATAAAAAAATAAATAAAAAAATCAACATATAATGTTACTAATAGGTGTAATACCACCAATGATTTTCCCCTATTAGTCTTTGTTAAATTTGCACTTTTCAAAAAAATGTGCAGAATTTATCTTTGTTTGAAATAAAGAAATACTTGGCATGAGTAAAGTTTTATCCTGTCCAGTACTGTAGACAAAATTTCACATAACATTTCATTGCATATAAAAGCATATAAGAAAATAACCATCACTGGAAGTTAACCAATCAAATTTCACCCCTTTTTTCCTGTGTAAAAGCTTTAGTAACCATGTAACCTCAATTTTCCAAAATATTCTATAGAAACACCCAATAAAAAAATAATGGTGCTTTGAAACACCCAAGATATATGTTTATGACTCAGACATTTTATTACTGCAATGAAATGTGGGATTAATATGCTACAACTGTCAAATTCAAGGGAATATTTTTTTTCGACCCTTTTTCGGATGTGATGTACTATAATTTGGTGGTATTACACCTACACGTGGTGTGAAACGATTAGTCATTGCCTTTGTAGGTCACATTGACACAATTTGACAAATTATAATCACATTTGTGGGTCAACGTAACCCAATTTGACAATTTATAATTATATTTGTAGGTCAACTTTACACAATTTGACAATTTAGGATAAACATTTGTAGGTCAACTTAACACCATTTGACACTTATAATTACATTTGTAGGTCACATTTACGCAATTTAACAATTCATTATTACATCTTAAGTTAACTTATTAATAACACAATTTGACAACTTATCTTTACATTTATAGGTCAACTTAACACCATTAAACAACAGACACTCTCATCGTTGTTTATAAGAAACATGCAAATGTCTCGTATGCAGCACAATGCTTTTGTCTCGCCATTATCTGGGTAAGAATAACGTAGAATTCATACGTATGTCTAGTAGCCAGAAAGGTAACAATATCGTAAAATTCATGTGTATGCCTAGTCGATAATAAGATAACATAATGTAGAATTCATACGTATTTCGAGTAGAAAACAAGGGAATGATAAAATAGAATGCATACCTATGTCTAGTTGATAACAAGGAATAATACACTCAGTGGCGGATTCAGAAATTTTCATAAGTGGGGGCCCACTGACTGCCTAAGAGGGGGCCCGCTCCAGTCATGTTTCAGTGATTCCCTATATAATCAACCAAATTTTTACTACAAAGGGGAGGGGGGGCCTGAAAAACCCTCTAAATCCGCCTCTGACACTTGTCTTGTAGATAGTAAGATAACCATTAATAGAATTCAAACGTATGTCTAGTAGATAACAAGGGAACGATAAGGTAGAATTCAAACATATGTCTTGTAGATAACAAGGGAACGATAAGGTAGAATTCAAACGTATGTCTAGTAGAGGGACGGGGAACGATGTCTAGTTGATAGTAATATATCAATATCGTAAAATTGATACGTATATCTGATAGATAACAAGAGAAAAGTTACGTAGACTTCATACGTATGTCTAGTATGTATCAAGGGAACGATAACGTATAACTGATACGTCTAGTAGATAACAAGGGAAAGATTAAGTAGCATTAATACGTGGATCTTGTGGATAGCAAAGGAATGATACAAGAGAACTCATACGTATGAATAGTAAATAAAAAGGGAACGATAACGGAGAATTCATTAGTGTGTCTGGTAGACAGGAAGGGAACGATAACGTAGAAACTCATTAGTGTATCTGGTAGACAGTAAGAGAACGACAACGGAGAACTCATTCGTATTTCTAGCAGATAGTAAAGGAACGATAATGTAGAACTCGTACGCATTTCTAGTTGATTACAAGGGAAATATTGCGTAGAATTCATATGTGTGTCTAGAAGATATCAAGGGAATTATAACGTAATATTCCTCCGTTTGTCTCAAAAATAGCAAGGGAATGATACCGTAGTACTCATCCGTATGTCTAGTAGATTACAAGGGAAGGATTACGAAGAATTCCTGCGTATGTCTAGAAGTTATCAAGGGAATGATGACGCCGAACTAATTCGTATTTCTAGTACATAAAAGGGGAATGATAACGTAGAAATCATACTTATGTCTAGTAGATAACAAAGGAAATATTACATAGAATACATGCGTATGTCTAGTAGATAGTAAGGGGACAATAACGTAGAACTCATGCGCATCTCTTTTAGATAACAAGGAAACGATAAGGTAGGACTCATATGTATGTCCTGGTAGATATAAAGTAGAACTTATACGTAGGTCTGGTAGAGAACAAGGGAGCGATAACGTAGAACTCATACACATGTCCGGTGGGTAGCAAGGTAACGATAACGCAGAAATCTTACGTATCTCCGGTAGATCGCAAGGGAATGATAACGTAGAACTCATACGCATGTCTACCAGGTAGCGAGGGAACGATAACGTAGTACTCATAGTTATGTTTAGTAGATAACAAGGGAAATATTATGAAGAATTGAAGCGTATGTCTAGTAGATAACAAGGGGAAGATTACGTAGAACTCCTACGTATCTCCGGTAGATAACAAGGGAATGATAGCGTAGAACTCCTACGCATGTCTACCAGGTAGCGAGGGAACGTTATAGTTATGTTTAGTAGATCACAAGGGAAAGATTATGAAGAATTGAAGCGTATATCTAGTAGATAACAAGGGGAAGATTACGTAGAACTCATACGTATCTCCGGTAGATAGCAAGGACATAAAAACGTAGAATTCTAGCGTATGTATAATAGATAGCAAAGGAACGATAACGAGGAATTCACACGTATGTCCGGTGGATAACAAGCAAATGATAACGTATGGTTTGGCGCCAGCAAACATGTTTAATCCCTTAACATTCTATATGTGCCTTTTCCAAGTCAGGAGCCTGTTTTTCAGTGGTTGTCGTTTAATACTGTTTCTCATATTTATTTTTCGTTTATTGTTTTGTTGTTTTTTCTTATGTTGTGCCGTTACACCACTGTCCTAGGTTAGGGGAGGGTTGTCGCCTTGAAACGTGTTTAATCCCGCCACATTCTTTATATATATTTTGCCTGCTCCAAGTCAGGAGCCTATATTTCAATGGTTGTCGTTGGTTCATGTCCATCATATTTGTTTTTCGTAATTTTTTTTTTATATTTTTTTTTAAAGCTATTAGTTTTGTCAATTGAATTGTTTCATATTTTTTTATGTCGGGGCCTTTAATAGCAGACTATACGGTATGGGGTTTTCTCGTTGTTGAAGGCCGTATGGTTGCCTATAATTACTTACATCCACTTCATTTGAACTTTGTTGGATACATTGTAGTTGTCTCATTTGAAATCATACCACATCTCCAATTTTTATAAAAGGGAATGATAACGTATAATTCATACGTATATCCAGTAGAAAGCGAGGAAATTATAACAGAATTCAAACGTATGTTTAGTAGATAACAAGGAAACTATATAGTAAATTCAAACATATGTCCTGTAGATAACAAGGGACCGATAATGTAGAATTTAAATGTAGGTCTAGTGGATAACAAGGGAACGATAACATAGAATTCAAACGTTTCATAACTTTTCTAAATTAACCTTCTACGGGAATGCTCAAATCTGAATATAAAAAAAAACCCAACTCATTAAAGATACCAGGCTTATAATTTGATACGCCAGGAGTGCGATTCGTCTACATAAACCTTTTCAGTGGCGCTCGAGTCAAAACAATTGGAATGGCCAAATCCAATACAAAGACGAGCAATATGATCAAAAGGGATATAAAAAGAATAGCCTTATTTTGTACCCGAGGTAGTTTGAACCTTATTTTCCTAATAATTTCTTCATTTATCAACGATGATTATTAAGTATTCCATATGCTATCTTTTAAATATTATCTTCAGACATTATGTTTATACATATTAATAGTTGTACGTGTTTTTTCATTTTCAGACCACACCGACACGGGCCTCAAATGTTTCCAAATCTCGATTTGAATTTCTGGCGGGAAATCGTTATCCATAAAAAGAAATAATACTCACGTTACCTCATGTTAAAGTGAGAGTCCAGCTGCTGTCTAGTAATATACTCTATGATTAAATCCTTGTTTTTAGAGGCTGACGGAAAGTTAATTTTTACAATTAGACAACATAATGAATTTGATAAATCTGTATAAAAGAATTACCTTTTCTATTAAGGGGAGACACAACACAGTTGTATTGTTTCAATTTAAAAGTATATGTTTTTCATACAAATATATTTAATTTGATGGAGAGGTTTATAACTAATCATTAAACTCATAAATAAATGCTTATTTTTGTTATTATTTTCATTGACTTTCATATTATTACAATCATTAAGGCAGTCTATTATAAGTGTACCATAGCGTAACTGGAGGTACAGCATCAGGAAACAAAGAAAACCAGAGACATTTTTTATACTATTTGGCCTTAACTCTTTTCCCATAAATAGATGCCCAGAGTCAAAGTACAGTCTTCAACAAAAAAAGAAAACACACACTTTAGATAATAAGTTCTTAATCGACCTTTCGCTATATCAATTGTTAAAAAGACCAAAAGACAAAGATAAGACATCGTTGACAAATTCTAAATATATGACTGCTTATTGACTGGCCAGTTAAGAACCTTGTGGATAATCAATATAAGAATAGCGCCGCGAGATTTGTATCCTGTTCTCGTAGTTCCCAGTGTTAACAGTTTATACCTGGACCTATTATATCCTGTTGTCGCAGTTCCCAGTGTTAACAGTTTATATCTGGACCTATTATATACTGTTGTCGTAGTTCCAAGTGTTAACAGTTTATACCTGGACCTATTATATCCTGTTGTCGTAGTTCCCAGTGTTAACAGTTTATACCTGGACCTATTATATCCTGTTGTCGTACAATGTAGTTCTTAGTGTAAACAGTTTATACCTGGACCTATTATATACTGTTGTCGTAGTTCCAAGTGTTAACAGTTTATACCTGGACCTATTATATCCTGTTGTCGTAGTTCCCAGTGTTAACAGTTTATACCTGGACCTATTATATCCTGTTGTCGTACAATGTAGTTCTTAGTGTAAACAGTTTATACCTGGACCTATTATATACTGTTGTCGTAGTTCCAAGTGTTAACAGTTTATACCTGGACCTATTATATCCTGTTGTCGTAGTTCCCGGTGTTAACAGTTTATACCTGGACCTATTATATCCTGTTGTCGTAGTTCCCAGTGTTATCAGTTTATACCTGGACCTGTTATAATTTAAATGACATTATGAAAATTTCTTCATATTACAAAGAGAGCACAATAAATGATGACACTAAACCAAAGAAAATCTAACCATTGAATAAAGGACAGTTTTCATTTAGATATAAAACAATGAAGTGAGATTGTGGAATCATTATGGCGAATATACTCAATTCTTTGACAATAGCACACATCATTGTTTATATATACTGAACACATCAATCACTTCAAATAAACTTTACTTATACTATTTACGATTGACTGTCAAAGAACTGAGCAGATACAAACAGATTTTACACTAAAATTAGAGTTGAACCATACGAGCCATTATTTTCGGTGTTGCAATACAGAAAGTTTTAAGTAAAAGGTTTTTGTGCAGCATTCATACTGACAAGAATAAACATAAAGACTATGTACAATTGCCAACGCTGACTACGTTTAATTTACATTTGCACCATTTTAAAGACCGATCTTAATATCTTAATATCGTTTTATTTTATTAATTGAATATTAGAAAATGCTCATGATATCTCACCTGCCACATTCACTGACACGTGTCATTAAACAGTATTATTTAATTTTACGTATAGAAAGAAAGACAACTGAGATATGTTTCTATCAACTGTTATGCACGAATAAATCTTTTCTGAAGAGTCTATAAAGTACAAGTAATAGCTTTTCTAAAAAGCTTGCCGTATTTTAGCTGCTTATACATGTATTGAGGTCGGTGGTTTGTGGGTATAGGGTTTTTTATTGGAATCTTGCACTCCAAGCATTAGAATATATAGTGTCTTTTTTCTCCTGGCTTTTGATTTTAGTTGTAGTATTGGTGAATCAGGGTTATCATTGAAGGAGGCTTGATAGTCACATATGATAATATATATATATATATATGGTTTGTAATAGCTAAAGTAACGATACAAACACTTTTTGTTTGTTTTGTGGAATATGATTGTTTACACTTTATGACAATGCAAGTAGTTTTAACATGCATACTGTGTCTTGACAGTTATGTAATAGTTAGCAAGGTTATAATCAAGTTGATAAGAAAAACGTATTATTTACTTTTGAGGATTACTGCTAGACAAAATGGACTACCAGTGGCAGATCTAGAAATTTTCATAAGGGGGCCAGCTCCAGTCATGCTTCAGTGATTCACTACATGTATATGATCAACCAAAGTTTTCCCACGAAAGGGGGGTGGGGGTCCCCTGAAAACTCTCTCAATCCGCCTCTGACTACTATAGTTGGCCGTTCAAATATGAGAATATTACATCTTATATGTATAGAAGACAGTGGTCTCTTTAGCCCAAATTAGAAGGGCGCCGCACCCTGAGTGCCATTAGCCACGCCCTGGGTGCCTTCAATTGCGCCCCTCCCGGACGCCTTTTTCCAAGGGGGGAGAATAGTAAGTTTATTTCGCTTCTTTTGGTTAATAGTGATCTGATGTATGAATGTGTATTGCCATGTTTTATGAACATGTAGTATGAATGACTTTTCTAATGCAAATTTTATAGAGTAAATAATCAAAACAACAACTTATGCATCTTTATTAACAACATATACAGTAAAAAAAAGTGAACTCGTGATACACACAGAAACGTAGACAAAAGAAATGAGAAGTGCCTTTTCCTATCATAAAAAAGTGCCCTGCCCTTCACTGGCACCCTGCCCCTTTCTATTTCTAGCTGGAGCACTTCAAGTGATGAATATCTCATCTGGCTTTTGTCTTAGAAGAAGCAATTAGTTTTGAAGGTACAGGTTAAGTGTTGTTATCACTAATTTCCAGATGTAGTATAACTGTAAGAAGATGTTTTGTGGTAATGGATTTGGAATGAAATATTAATTGCAAATAATTTTCTAGAACATGTTGTCAGCTGGCTTCTTATATTTTTTATTATTTTGTTGCGGTTTGTAATCTTGACATTTTTTTTGTAAGTTCTATAGATGAGAGCTTCATATTGGTATTATCATTTAGTGCTTTATATTTGGTTGCATGTGTAAGCATATGCTTTTGTTTGTTGGAATATTTATATTTTCATTTCTGATGGCAACAAGTTCATGTAATACATATAGTCAGGATTATTAGTAAGCGAAAGTTGTTTTGTTTGTTTATGTTTATTGTCATAATTGATATGGACTATATAACTTGCTGTTTGGTGTGAACCAAGGCTTCATGTTGAAGACTGTACTTCAACCTATAATGGTTTACTTTTATAAATTGTGACTTGGATGGAGAGTTGTCTTTGGTACTGATATGACATTCTGTTATATCTATCGACAAGATTGAGAACACATTTTTTTGTAATAAAACATATTTAATTCTATGATATCATATTTAACAATTTATCGGTAATTTGTGCATTTTTCCTTTGATGTGTACTACATGTATCTGATAATGTCAGTATCAGTTGACTGGTCGTGATATATAAATTATTGGGTCAGTTCGCAATTGACATGCTCAGGTACGCTGTGTCAGGATCTTCTTTCACCTTTCATTCACAAAATCTTGCATGATTATTTTTTGCAGAATCGCAAGAGTGTTTTGGTGAATGAAACACTTCTCATATTGTTTGAAAGTTTCAGTAAAGTTAGTTTTGCCTTTTTGACAGATTGTGTGAAAATTCGAACAGAATATGAATAAAAAACCCAATAAACTTTAAAAAAATGCACCATTTTTAATAGCTTTCCTTGCTTATTCACAATGATGTACAAAATGTATAAATATATCATCCATGCTATTCCGATCTGAGTTTTTTTTTATACATAGTCTGGTGCTGTTCCAAGTAGTCTTCTTTTTCTGTTTCTTGAGAAGTATTTGTTTTACCTGTTCAGTCACTTTAAAGTGTTACAATTAATATTTAGATGCAACACAATATAGTGACCAAAAAGGTACTGCTATCATATGAGAGGAGCTAGAAAAAAAATGAAATGTACACATTATCAACATTTTTGTGGGACCATCAAGATGTGGTTTCATTGATTTTTTTGTCAATATATAGACAGATATTCATAGACCAAATAACAAATAAGCAACAAATTCAAAAATAGATGTAGGATGAATTACAGAAAGAAGGGGTACCCGGGGGCCCGAAACTTGACAAGGTTTGGTTTGGAACAAGTAATATGTCTGCATTAACATTAAATGTAGGTTTTAAAAGGGGGACCCAGATCGCCTTTCCCTAAATCCTTTCTGAAATTAAAGGTTTAACTGGGCGCAGTTGAAAAATAAATGAACATGACTTTGAAAAAGCAAGAATATTAAGCTAAAAGAAATAGACCATACTTGGATGACATCTATTCAAATGTTTGAAATAATTATGAAGTTGACAAGAAATGAACTTGTTCAGATAATATACAGTCAGCCTACAGACTTGTTGCTTCCTGAAATGTCTGCTTACACAGTGCTTTCCTAAAATGATTTGTAATGTGATTGTTTTCATGATGAATGATGAGCAAACATAGATTATGCCGTTGGTTTTCTCGTTTGAATTGTTTTACATTGTTATTTCGGGGCCTTTTATAGCTGACTATGCAGTATGGGCTTTGCTCATTGTTGAAGGCCATAAGGTGACCTATAGTTGTTTATTTCTGTGTCATTTTGGTCTTTTTTGGAGAGTTGTCTCATTGGCAATCATACCACATCTTCTTTTTTTTATATTATAATGACAAGATAAATGTTATGTTACCCACCCAACTAAGTAAAATATATAACTTCTCGTTGAACTTCTAAAACAACCATAAATCTGCTGATTCATATCGTATCATTCAATGCTGTCAGATGCTATGTGAAAAATAAAGAAATTTACCTTAATGTATGCTTCCATTATATTTGGCATTGTTATTCAGTTATGTCCAAAGCAGAACTTATAAAAGGCATGCAATAATTTATTTTCAATAGATGCATTTGAAAAATTTATTTTCGGCACTAGTAAAGCGACGTCTATGTTCATGATGTCATGTGATCATCTATATATATAAGAATATTTCATTTGAGTTGAATTATTAAAGATTGCTTTGAATCCTACTTATTGCTATTTGTCTGCAATTACTGGCCATCACAAAGGTTCACGTAAAATTTTGACGTCATAATACAAAATATCTGACGCCACAATGGAAAAGTGATTGTAGTATGATGTCAATGGTTGAAGCGGGACAGCTGCAGATTCTCAGGTCAGCTGGGACAGAATTCCATAAAGCGATTAGGTGTATGGTTATTATATATGGGTACTATGTTCAGGAGGATGAATTCTAATATACATGTATATACCTAAAATACCTGTTCGGTTTTGGATTAACATCCTGGATCTGGATTTCCTTATCAACCACCATCATTGTTAACGCATCCAAGTCATAAACTAGAGCCTTTACATAGTCAGTTCGATCTGCCAATATCACATATTACAAATACTTGTACAAATACAGCCGATAGATTAAACTCAGCACCATTGTATATTGATGATTATACATATAGTATCAGCTCATTCAGATTTGAAAAGGTTAGCAAAATAGCAGCACCATCTGAAAATGGTAAACCTTGATTATCTCGAGCATGTGAATCAAAGCAAATAGTAATTATCATCACAACGCAATATACTTATTGTAAGCATGGTAAGACCTGATACATTGTACATTGTAATGTGAAACTAGAATTGGATTTATCTATATCAAACATTTGTCAAATGCAGTTCTCAGTGCTGTTGATATATCAATTAACAATGACTGCTGAGCGCCACTGTGTACAGTGGCAGATCCAGAACTTTTCATAAAGGGGGGGCCTATATAATCAACCAAGGGGAGGGGCGGCCCCAGCCCCCCCCCTCTTTTGGATCCGCCTGGGGTGTACAACGACTCAAAAGAATAAATCATCATGTACGAGTACATTAAACTGTCTACCCCACATGCGAACATCATTTGGGACCTTGCTGTGTTGCAAGTATCTTGGGTTTTCAGGCATATTAATTCAAATTGCTCATTGCTGCCTTTTTTAATTGCCCACGTTGGGCACCAATGTAACCAGCAAACATGATTGCCTCCAGTTACATTGGCGCCCAACAATAAAAACCCACGGTTAGAAGAAATACCTAGCCAGGGAAATATATAATTATATTAAAATGAAGATAATATCATCATTATAGAGTAAAATGACTCTTGAGGTGGGGGAAGTGTGACGGGATTGCTTCCTTGGAAATTTAGTAGATATCTTTAGCTCAGTCGGTTAACGCGCTGCCTTGTAACACAGAGGTCCCGGTGGAGACATGCGATTTTGCAAGTAGAATCATGCTCTCCGGTTACATATCTATACCTTTTTTAATTTCATCTATCTATAGTCGTAGACGTCCAGTACAGGGGTCATTAAACAAACTATAATGCACTGAAACCCTTGCCCATAACTAAACCGTGATGCTTGGTGTTTGCTTCCTTGCACACACGCAACCATATTACTCACATTGTTTGTTTTCTATTCTAATCAGCTGTTTATCGGCAATTGTCTGTTTTGTTTACATCAGAAATCAATGAAGCGTAGTCCAAATAATTATGACGTCTTGAAGGCTATTATATTTTTTTCTTTGACGCCTTACATCGACGATGTAAGGCGTCAAAGAAAAAAATATAATAGCCTTTCAAGACGTCATAATATCCAAATAATTATGACGTCTTGAAAGGCTATTATATTTTTTTCTTTGACGCCTTACATCGACGATGATGTAAGGCGTCAAAGAAAAAAATATAATAGCCTTTCAAGACGTCATAATTATTTGGACTAAATGAAGCGGTGAATGCGCGGGGAAACGAAAGGACATCTTCGTATCAATACGGTAAATTCCGTGAGTTGAATATTTTCTAATCAATATGTTCAAGCAATGAAAAATATGAGGATAACATTTTTAATCATAGAGCACACGTTTTGTGTATTTACTATTTAAAATTATAGTTCATGAAGAAATATAGCAAAATATGTTTCAATACGCACTATAAAGTGAAGATTGGATGTATTATTGTTTTGTTTTTGAAAGAACATTAATAATCCATAAATACACACCTTTGTACCAAAATTGCTATAAAATTTCAAGATAAGATAAATTTCATCATCACAGAATTATATTATTTGCTCAAATTGACAGGGCTTCGTGAACTAAATTTGGCTTAAATTATGATAGCAATTGAACACTTCATTATAGTTTCTACCGATGACCTACTATCATGATTTTTATCCGACCCCACTTACGGACGCGTTGACATATAATGCATACAACTCAATAATAGCCAATCAGACGTTAAGATATCATGCTTCACTTCCCCCAGAAGCAGCCCGGAAGCAGCTGAGATGCAGCCGTTCAATGTTATTTATAACCAATGAGATACCGTTAACAGATTAACCACATTCCAGACGTCCAGCCTCTGACTAATCAGACCGTATCACCATGGTGATACGGTAATGAAGAGGATATGACGAAAACATATAGACGCTATTCTGGCGACAACAAAATGATGACGGACAGACTGATGGCATGACCGATCTGAACGCTATCCCCCGCAGCCCATCGCGTTGGGTATGATAAATCTTTAGGACTACGCATCTTAAGATGAAATGTAGATTACAAAATTTAAAAAAAACTAAAAACGATATACAAAAATATACAAAAATGTACTTTTGGATCTGAAATTATTGAAAATTTGATAACCCTTTATCTCAATAGAAAGTTTTTGTATTAATTATTTTCTTTGTTTGAATCAGTCGATGTTTTAACTCATTATATCCCGCAGGCAGATCTTTTCGGGGTTTAGGAGACATATACTAGTCAACAAAAGTAACGATACACAAGTGTGAACTCCAATTTATCATAAAATATAATAAATAGGAAAAACATTTAAGTTATCCAATGAAAAACATTCATTTGCAAAGCAAATGCATATGATTAAAAAAATCTGACCAAATTGGAAAGTGAGAAAATACCGTGTTATTGAACACGGGGGTCAAATTTATTTTTGCGGAAAATGATGACAAAAGTCGGCACATAATTTCGAAGATGAGAATTAAGTATTCAATTATCTGCAAAGGCATTCAAAATTTTAAGCAGACCATGTTTAAGTTTAAAGTTTTAAGTTCTAATATCGATTTTTGAATTTTTGGGTGAAAACACAATTTTTGAAATAACAAAAATTGCAAAAAAAAAAAAATTCGCGTATTTGCCTTAAATCAATGGTTTTGATAAGAAAATAACACTCTGTAAATATTAGACCAATTGGACAATTATTTACCTTGGTACAGTGTATCTAATTTCATTATATATGGAAAATACATTGCCTTGTATCGTTTCTTTTGTTGACTAGTATATTATAACAATAATAGAAATATTATAATAAAAAAGAAGACATAAAAAGTGTGCAAAAGATAAAAAAAAAAAAACACTGCAATAAGATATGAAAGCTGGGAAAAAGAGAAATGTAAGAGAACTTACGCCTCAATATAAAAGTAGGGAGATGTGGTACATGTGGTATGATTGCCAATGAGACAATTAACTGTATACTATCAACCAGAGTTCAAATGACGTAGATGGTATACTATCAACCAGAGTTCAAATGACGTAGATGTTAGCATTTATTATAAGTCACAAGCCCATTCTTCTGTTTTCCTTCACCTCTTCGAAATCAAATATATTTGCTCAATTTAAGTCGACACCTTATTGGCGACCATCATCAAATAGAAGTCTAATAAAACATGAAACCGAAAATGAAAGGGAAATTGGCATGAAAATACAACAAACTATAGAATTAAAAATAAAAAGAGAAAGAGAATATGGCTACTTTCCCATTAATTTGTTTCACTCAAAGACTCTATATTCGAGTGTAAAGACCTCAATGACAACACGTGAAAGCCAAGAGTAGCCTTTGTGTTGGCTCTCTGATAGAGACAATGTATTTCAAGTAAGAGGTAGGTATATATGTAATTATGATAATAGTAAAAAAAGGTGCGAGTATGACAAGGCACAAGTGTGACATGAAAAAGATTTAGTTGATGTTAAAACAATACAGATAGAATGAATATAAATGTGAAAATATGTAAAAATAGAAACAGACACATGTTAACTACAACAACAAAAATATTTGTTGAGTTGAGTACAAAAATTCACAAATTTAGCGGAAGCTAAAAGATTGGGTCTAGTTTTATAAATTGCAAAAAAAAAAAACGATTTATTAAAACTGTTTCGGTATACATCAACCTGATAGTGCACATGCTTTTATTTCAAAGACCATTTATAATTTAATTCACTGTTTCAAAAAATGCTGATTTTGGTTCCCTTAACATAAGTTGTAATGAGAAGTATTCTTAGCACAAATATAACTATTCTGTGCTAATTTATTGTCATATTGTGAAACAAAATTACAACATTAAATTTATTTTTATTCTTATTTACATATTAGATATAAATGCATCAAAAGATATTTTTCGATAAATTTTGAACCCAAATGACCATACTGTTTTATCAGTTGTCATGATATTTAGTGTATGTATCTACATTTTATCTATAGGTGGTCAATATAAAACAATCAGTTCAATTACTTACAATAGACGTATTGATGTTTGCTAAACTTCCAGTGGCAAATGTTTCATGCATATTCAGGAAGGGACAGATACTCTGCCTTGCAACAGGCAACTTAGATCCCCCAAAGAACTGTTAAAATGATTCTTTTACGGAGAGAGATCGTGACCCTATCAATATAAGATATATTGTATTGATCATCTGCATTCTAACCGGAAGTGGCTGCGTATTTATACAAGGCGCTCCTCTTAAGCATGGGTTTACTGCCGGGTTGGAAAAGTGCAAGTGACCATGTCGGCGCTTGGATTGAAATACTAATACTGTCATATTTTCAGCAATTATTTAAGATAAAATGTATTTTCCACATCTATGTACATGCATATAAAAAAAGACATATGATTTGTCCTATTTTAACATATTGCTATTTTCGAAATATTCATTCGAAATTCGAAAGTGTCATTAAAAAATAGTTGACCATTATAAAATAAATGTGTCACAGATGGCCACGGACATGAACCTCTTGGCTTGGCAACAATCACGTCCTATATTACCTTGATTCTACCACCATCAATTGCCACTTAGCACCGAATGTTAACCTAATTTGCAATGAGCAACACGACGGGTGCTACTAATGATACAGGAACTGTATACCCTTCCTGAGCACCTGCTTTTACACCAGTTTTTTTCAACTGTTGTTCAATCGTTAGTTTTATGATCAATGTTTTATGGACTGTTTGTTTTCTTTCTTTTTGCCATGGTGTTGTCTGTTTTATTTGATTACGGTTGTTGATGCCCCCTGGTATTTTAACACATTAACATATTCTTTAATTTGGGAATAGTATACTGAGTCCATATATTATGTCCCAGCTTTAATGCATAGATAAAATATTCTTTAATAAATGTTCCAAATCAATTAAAACATATAAACAATAAACATGTATACATGTACGTATACATACAAATAACCAATTAAGAGAAAATTTCAGGTCATCACTTTAATTCACTACAATGAACTGAATGAGCCCATTATTTATTTCAACCGAAAAGCCGTTCTCAAAATTAAATTGTTGTCTTCTTCAATTACAATTTACTTTATCGGGTAAAATTACATATATTAAATGGTCCACCCATCTGTATGAAATGTACTTCCTTCTTCACCATTGTCAAATAATGGATAAATTTCCTCTAGGATCGATCCTATTTTGTCTTTACTTACCTATTCAAGGTAAGTTTGAAACACAAAAAAACTGCAGAAAAACGTGATATTATTTTATGAAATAAGATAGTAGTATCTTGTAAAAGTATAAAGAAATGATCAAGAAATGATAAACTAAATGTAAATTGTATCTTTCTGACCGGTAATTATAACGAGTGTTATCCATTAAATCGACGGCAATTACATGTATGCCGTGTCCTTTCATAATTGTTTGACTTAATCAACTCAGTTTTATACAGTAAAGGTTCATTAAATCACGTGGTATAACCGTCGTACTGTTCCGGACGTTTGTGCGTATCGAAGCGATATTAATAAATACAAAGTCAACATATTTTCCGTCCAAGACAAATCCCCGTAACAGTAGATATATAATGACTATTTATACATTTATGACGTTTGAACAGCGGTATACTACTATTGCCTTTATTGTACACAGGTTGACATGGTTCTTGACAAAAATTGCACATTATTCATATTACAGGAACACCTATTATGTATTTTAAACAACAAATAGTCTCTAATATTTAGTTAAATCATATGATACTTCAAATTAAAAAAAAAAAGATATCTTATATACTTAAATGGCCAAGTTTTACTATTAAGCATGTGTACATGGACTTTCTTTTAAAAGAAAATCCTTTTCCTTTATCTTATCAAAATCTTTGGAAATATACTATTATTGAATTATTGCTTCCCTCCCCCCCCCCCCCCCCCCCCCGTACTTTAATTCGACGACAGCTTTTCCGTATGCAGTGACCTTAACCAAGTGACCTTTCGTAAGAACTTCGAAAATCGCACAGTGCAAGTGCGAGGGACAAACCGTGATTAAAGGAATGTAAACAAACGTGCACTGGAAGGAAAATTAACACCGCTCTGTCAACTCACTTATTTTTGACGTGCAGCATTTGAGAAAAAAATTCTATATCTAAACGATATTTCTTGAATTCAGAACTTCACAAATATTAGTGGATATTATTCCAGAGTTTGTTTAGCGCCATTAAAATTATTCGAGGAACGATATGCACCAATATTCGTTAAATAACCGTTTCATTGTATATAAAAACTTTGAAACATTCAAATTCTTTTGGGGATGTCATGATTTGAAGCGTTATTGCATTAGTGCAAATATCAGTTGTAATTGCAAACCAAGATGAACTAACTACCTGCGAGGTTAAAAAAGTAAAAGATAGGTATTTTAACACAGATAGCATAAATTCTATTCTCATCGGTGTTTTTTGCCAACCTTCGTTAACAATGTTTCAACAAAGCGCACAACTTACGTACACAAAAATCTAGGAACGATACAGTAAACAAATTATAAAGATGGCTCTTGAAGAAAACAATCATAACAACTTCAACAAAAAGGGAATATTGAATATATTATGGAGAAAGACAAGTTAACCAGTTGTTATTTGAATTTATTTGTTTACAATTGAAGCATTTTATGGCAGTTTTGTGCTTTTTGGTTTGTAAAATTTAGTGCGTCCTTTCAATAGTAATTACAGCTCGAGTTTTGGGAATTTCATAATTTACATTAATGACTTAACGTGTGCGATACATGTTTTGTATGTTTTGTATGTACAAATATAATATATATTTTCAATGTAATATAAAGACCCCCTCAGCTTATCGTTTTGTCGCTTCAGAACGCACAACTTCCGGAAATGAACTGCACTGTGGTAATACCGATTTAAGAGTAAATGCCCATCTAAAAAGAGAAAGAAAGAAGATCCATTTGAGCATGAAGTGATTAAAAGATTAAAATACGTTTGTTTATATAAAACAACTAGTTGTTTTTAATATTTTCAAATGCATTCCCCCCCGAGTTATCATTTTTAACTTCTAAATATATCTTTAAATCTGACATCGGTCAAAGTAATCTTAAGGATTGGTTACCCTATTGTTATTCAAAGTATCCATTACACCAGCTATTTCATATCACAATCGAATTTTGTAAGTGATATTATTAAGAATTATAAAACTATTCGTATAAACACACTTCCCTGTGAGTTTAATACTTTTTATACGTGAAACCTAATTTTATTTTGTCATACCGAATATTTAAGTGTTTTTGAATCTTCATTGGTTTAGTTCGATGCATGCATAAAACATAAAAAAAAAATTAATGACACTGGTAATAAAGCACATAATACTCAAAGAAGTAGATGGGGTGGGGTGGGGGGGTCTCTGGTTGACAGTTGTCTCAATCAAACATACAGTACCACATCTTCTTATTTTTGTACAAAGCAATACCGTTCCAAGAAAAAAATACTATTAGATACTACATATACATATACATACCAGTAATAGCTACCCACAAGTACAATATACAAAGTGGCCCATGACTAAGTTTTACTTTTTATTTTTTAGTGTTAGCTGTCGACGAGTATACCAAGTGTTCTAATGCATCAGTTTCTGAGAACCTTCCAGGTAAGCTAAATACAGATCGGATATTTTATTTTGTTCATAAAATCGTAAAAAAAGTATATATGATCTGTTGCCCTAAAGAACTGGGTTTATTAAGGAATGTATCTATTTCACGCTCTTACTCGTTGTCTGGGTTTATTAAGGAATGTATATCACTCACTCACGCTCTTACTCGTTGTCTGGGTTTATTAAGGAATGTATCTCACTCACTCACGCTCTTACTCGTTGTCTGGGTTTATTAAGGAATGTATCTCACTCACTCACGCTCTTACTTGTTGTCTGGGTTAAGCTTCAAGGTTGTTCTTGTTGCTTTTATCAACCTTTATATGAGGTTTGGTATTTCAAATATTTGTACCTCAAGCAATATTGAAGAAAAATGAATTGTCGAAATGCGCCTCCGGAGAAGAACCTACTGATCAATTGTAGTAATATTCAGTGGGGAAATTCAAAGTCTGTCGACAGCAAAACCGGCTCGGTGGTAATAATATATAGTGAGGAATTTACAGTCTGTCAACAGCAGTACTAACTGGATGTTAAAAAGAGTCCACCGGCAGCGGTACCGTCCGCTGTTTAAACTATACAATGGGAAACTTATAGTCCGCAGACAGCAGGCCCAGTAGAGTTATATATGGCGGGGAACTTACATTATGTTTTAATGCACGTTGTTTAACCAAACATAAAGTATTTATGTGCTAAAATGCTCCATCTATTTTGAACATATGTGTACATAATTGAGCACATGCAATTATGTACACTTCAACATTAGCCTTTACTTTCTAAATACAATAGAACAAACACAAGTTTGGATACTGAATGGCGCAGTGACCACCTTAAATTTTATTTTCCTAATATAATATGTATCTGATCTGGTTAAGTCCATCAAACTAAAATAATAAAGTCCATCAAAAACACAAGATACACTGCCTGACAGAATCTTGGACAATATCATGTTCTGCAACAAAATAATCTACAAAATAAATACAACACATTTAAATACTGTTCTATATAAAACTTAAATACAAATATTTTGTATACAAAAAAAACCAAACTTCTACCTATATATATGACGTGCGATTGTGTGGTCACTACCCAGTCCTCGATAACTAAAAAACCCGTGCAATTACCTTTTATACTGACCGCCAAACCGGTTAACGGCAATAGTTATACAACTTATACAAAATCCCCATTATAAAATTAATGCGCAGTCTTTCAAATTCATTCCGCATACCGCACATAAATTTATTTCCGCTTGCAAAGACATAGTCTAGTAATAATAAAACAGAAATTATTATACAGATTTGACAACAAGAGTCTAGATAATTTTTTCTTAAATACTGGCGGCTGAAAGTTTCGGAAATGCATTATACATTCTAAGAGCAACATTATTTGTTCATCATTTAATCCTTATGTATCGTACAATAATCATAAACCTACCATGTATCTTATCAAATAGACAAATACGAACAATGGCGTATAAATCTTTCTTGATTTGAATATAAAAAATACAAAAATATATAATTTTTTCAATATTTCAGTGGCAACGTTCTGTACCAACAGCGAAGCAGAAGGGGAGCGTATAGTTTTAGATGGATACTTTGCTAATACTATCCCAGACAAGGTTTGTTCATGTGTAGCACAGAGAGGTCAAGCACAGAAAATTGTATTCTCGAATGTCAACTTCCTTCAATCATCTATTCAGAGTGGAGGCTGGTGTGGAAGTAAGATTATCGCCAAACAAGACAACGGGCAGAGTAACCATATGTCGTGTAGAGTAGTAGGATCATTGGATCTCCAGGATAATAATCATATACAGATAAGCCTACGAAAGGAATCAGCACCCGAAGATACCAGATATTGTGCACTGGTATATTTTGGTAATCAAAAATATTTAAAAACCACAGTTACAATAACCCAATCATCAAAGCGCTTCTTTTCTGTATTATTTAACTAATAAATCCTACTCGTCAGCTTTATCAGTGTCTGTAGCGATATTTTAATTAGATTTCAATTAATGTTATCTATGTTAAACACCCAAATAAGTAAGTCCGTGATTTAGTAACAACAAATGATTTAGTTTTTTCATTGATACAAAGAGTTGGTTTAGAAGTTTGGCTGTACCTATAAGCCTTATTACAAAAAGGTTATCACATCTTTATTTTATGGTGATGTTGTCATTACAGCCCGTAAATTTGGATACGATCCATGTAAACTTATTAGTCCTTTAAAAACATTATTCTGAAAGTGAATTATTATTATTTATTATTATTATTATCATCAATCTTAAAAATTACGCATTAATTAAATAACTCTACATAGAAACTGCAAAGGACTATTTATTTTATTCTGAAGTTAAGACCAGAGGGATATAGTGTCATTAAGGCATAAGAAAATCTTTTCATTTCTTTATTGATAATTATATAACTGAACATATTGTTCAGTGATTGTCGTTTGTTGATGTGGTTCACAAGTGTTTCTCGTTTCTCGTTTTTTATATAGATTAGACCGTTGGTTTTCCTGTTTGAATCATTTTGGGGCCCTTTATAGCTTGCTGATTGGTGTGAGCCAAGGCTCCGTGTTGAAGGCCGTACTTTGACCTATAACTGTTTACTTTTTACACATTGTGACTTGGATGGAGAGTTGTCTCATTGGCACTCATACCACATCTTATTTCTTTATAACATTTTGACTCAATGTATATTTGACTTGTTTTTCTATTTTTTTTTTTTGTTCAATTGATGCAGATCTGCATGTATCACTCTCCTTCTGGTGTCAATAAAGAATGTCTTTAGAATGTCTTTATTTTTTAGACACCGACGAACCAATAAAAATATCCTGCTTTTCAAATTATGTAGCAACAACTTCAGGGTATGAAACAAGTATATCAACGACAAACCCCCCAACAATGATATCAAGTTATTCAGCAGAGACTACAACTGTAGATATGTTAAAGGAGACCAGTTCAACGTTGACATCGCAGCATGTTACTGTTACAAATAGTATACTTATGGATACAATTACCCCTCCAGTTTCAACATCACATATGGATCTACACACATCTACTAAAAAACTTTTAACAGAAAATGCGACAGTTGTTATTGAAACCACTGAAACAAACGTATCTGTTGACACCTCAACTAAAGAATCAACTACACAAACAGATGTCCACAGTGATACTACACCTTCCACCGTCAGGATGACAACCAAAATAAAAACCACAGTTTCTCCTGAACCAACCACTACCATAGTCAATGAGCAAACAGTTGGTATGTTTAAATAGTTGTGTCTTTTGCATTGACATAGGTATTCGTTTTCTCCTTTAACTTTAATGTTCAATAAATATATCAATCGTTTTTCATGATTAATTGTTGCTGGTTGGTACCTTTTGTGTAGTTATACATATTGATATCCTGAAAATAAGTGTAATGAACACAGTTTTAAAGGCACGAAAATTGTAGCGTATTTTTTATTATTTCTTATTTTAACTTTTTGTGTAATAACCAGGTATAAGTTAAATGGATGGGTCCTTTATTTTATATTTGAAAATAATTTACAGAGATGTCCATAACAGGTCATTTCACGTTACATAAACAAAATTGATCTACAAAACTATATACAAATAAGGAGATGTGGTATGATTGTCAATGAGACAACTATCCCCCAGAGTCCTTATGACATAAAGTAAACAACCATTTCTCTTGAAGACTAAATTTATTAAATCAAAGAGGATCAACTATGTACCAATTCTACCAACTTGAATGTAGGAGCCAGTTTAAAGTCTTGAATCAATAAATAATGTCAAGTCATGGTGATATGTGATAGAACAAAATATGATTATATTTACAGATGACAAGAACATGTATATTGGTATAGGAGTAGGCTGTGGAGCTCTTGTCATCTTTACTATAATTCTTATTGGAGCAAAAATTTGGAAAAAGTGAGTTTGAACATAAAAGCCACTAACACAATTAGAAAACCTAGACGTCTTTCTGTGTTTTAGGGCTGTTTGGTCGCTGTATCGTTGTTGTCTTCTTCGTGTTGCTCACTCTTTAGTTTCCTAAGTTGTGTTTTGTGTAATGTTGTTTGTCTTTTGGTCTTTTTCTTTTTTTTGCCATGGCGTTGTCTTTTTATTTTCTACTTATGAGTTTGAATGTCCCTTTGGTATCTTTCGCCTCTCTTTTAATGGGTTTCGTTGATAGTTTCTGTTTCGCATTTGGCGAACAATGTTCTTCATTTCGTAACGATCAAACAAGCCATGACGGCCGCTTATTAACACAATCAACAATGTAAAAATACATATAATAGTTAATTAGAAGGCGCACCAAATTAATAGCAAAAGCAAACAGTACAGACATAAACATGTACATATTGTTTGGTGAACAATTATTATAAATAAAAGGTAGTCCGGTTTACACGTTAATCAGAGAGCAACCCAGCGACAATGATACTCAAACATGACATCTAGAGTGCAATAAACAGCTTCAAACATAAGACAATCGTCTAAAAAATATATCGAGCTCTAAGGCCATTGTCTAACAAAAGTTGTAAGATAATTAAAAATGTTCGGCTTAGGACATTTGAGCGTCGTTTGATCATTTAAACGAAACAGAGGAGTTTAAGCGTCATACCCCATTTTAAAACCATATTTTTAACTCATTTTAGCAAGAAAACATTTATTAAATTTTTACTCCTTTATAATATAATATAAAATAGTAAAATGAAAAATATTTCTATCAAACAGCATTATAAAATGCCATTTTTATTAAAAGTAAAGTCTGAATACTTTGCAAATTAAAACCAATGATCTCAGTTTAAATCATCCTTTATTAAACTCAAATAGTGTGCCAACCTTCAGTATTGGTAGTTGTGGTTCGATCGATCGGATTTGAAAGTTTGTATTTGGTGCTTCTCTACATAAACACAGCATGTAAGAGAAAGTGCAAAGACGGGTTGGCTTCATGTGGACTGTAACAGTTACTTGTGAACAAGAACGATACAAATCCGATTCAACGTGTCGGTCTAGTACGTAGTATGTTCAAACTTATATCTCATTGACATGTTCATATCCAAATATGCTAACAATCCTCCACCTCCTCCTCCTCCTCGTCATCATCATCATCATCATCTCTGTTCTTTATTGTGTCATTTCATTTCTTTTCTTCATCTTTTCCTAATTTCTTGGACTTTTAATATAATTGTCAATTTGTTAATAAAATCCGTCATTTATTACAGTTCAAATTCTTTGATTTGTTTAACAACATTTGTTGCAATGTTTAACCAAAACAGCATACGTTTTGTTAGATGTGATAAGTATTCGCCAAAATGGGATACAGAATTTGCTGGTGAACGGATTTATTCAGCGGTTATAAATATCGGTGCCAATATGACCTCGAGGTACATGGTTATGAAATGGCGTTACACTTATGTTTAGATCTATACTCACGTGTCAATCTTTAATATATGAAACTGTGATATATCTTATTTTCAGACATTTAACAAGTAAAGGCATAGAACTAAAATCATACTTACATGGTGAAGATAATGAATATACCACAGTTAATGTTACCCATACCTCTGCCAATATTCAAAGGAATGGAATTAACTATACAAACGGGACTCATGATACATCTTCAAAACACAAACCTGAATTCACTGAAAGGGACGAATACAAATCATCTGCAGCTAAACATACGGATGTTCCCAGAATTAAACCTGTTGAAAATTTATATGCCGTCGTTGACAAATCAAAAAAGAAACAATTAACGGACAGTGTTATTGGTGGTGTGAAGGATCATACTGCTGCAGAGAAGACCCTTAAAACTTCACAAAAACCAGAGACAATAGCACCTGATACAGCAAACAATGGATTACAATATGCTGAACTAGAATTCAGTCATCAACCTTCAAATAACATTACAGACAAACCAAATATTACCAGTATAGATTCGGTTGATTACGCCGAGGTTATGTTTAAAAAGTAAAATTTGAGTTTAGGAAAATAACATTTAAATTCGAAGTACAGTTTTCCTGATGACCAATCATAACCATCGACATATACTTTTTCAACGTCGAATAAAGGAAAATGGATCAATTCGAGTTGGGATCACTCAGTGCACTTTGCAATGGAAAAAAGAGTCTGAAACATTTTTAAAGACCATATGTAAGAGCAGTATCAGTTTCAATTATAATATTGAACTGTGTGCATATTTTAAATATGTATCAAATGTAAATAATATACTTATTAATAAATATATATGTACAAATGTAACTAGCAAATACGTATATTTGCTTTATATCATTTGACATATCTTGACATATTCTCTGTAATCGCCTAAATACTTTTGCTCATATCGTAAAAAACATTGAAAAAATTAAGTTGCTTTTCTTTTAAAAAAAGAAATGCAATCGTGAACCTAAATGCCTGCTTAGTATGATAGTAATGTATGGTTTTAACTCATTTTTTTTGTATAAGATTTAGAAACTAACATGGATTGTTAATGTAACTGCTGTTCATTGTGGAGCAAAATATTCTTGTGAAGGAATCATTTCTCTTCCTCCACTCTCTCTCCCGAAAGATAACATTACAACATGCTAAATAGGAGCCCCCGACTTGATGTTGCATTCTGAGGTGTTGTTTTTGAAATAACAGTTATATGTGTTTTCTAGCTTAAGTCGAAATGCAAACGTGAAGAAATTTAATGACAATATTCATGATTATTTGTTTTTGTAGCAGTTTGGAAATAGTTCAAAATTCTCAGCTGTATTCTTATTTGATAATCCCGAACTAAAACCGTTTTTGAAAACCAACCCAACTGGTTTATATTGTTTGGTCATCATATTCAAGATATGTGTGATCTCAATTTATTTATACCACAGACAACAAAGCTTTTGGAGTGAAACAGTTTAAAACCTCAACTTAATACTTGTTCAAAAAAATATCTCTCTCTAGCTTGTCCTCTTGTAAATTTGTCAAAATAAAATGAAGTTGTTGATTTGTTGTTTTTATATGGTTGTTTGACAGACAGAAGGAAGCAGGAATAACAGGGTCAAAGATAAATCACAAAAATACTGAACTCCGAGGAAAATTCAAAACGGAAAGTCTCTAATCGAATGGCAAAATCAAAAGCACAAACACATCAAACGAATGGACAACAACTGTCATATTCCTGACTTGGTACAGGCATTTTCTTATGTAGAAAATGGTGGATTGAACCTGGATTTATAGCAATGCAGTATAGTTCATGTCCAGTACGCAGCTACAAAATGCTGTTTTTGCAATCGCCTGTCCGTTGAATACGGGTATTGATTTTAAGAAAAAATAATTTGTACTAAGCTGAGTTCTTTTTGTGGTTTTGTTTTTGCTAATGAATGCAAAGTTTTTGTATCGCCTAATTTGTTAACATATCGTCCTATTTTGTCGTCAAACACGCTCTAGGGCTCTGTCAACTAGACCCTATAACTTGGCTTATGAATACAGATTGCCTCGATTCCTTGAAAATGAATTGACGGAATAATCAGAATCTTGCAATGATTTTTCCATCGATGGAAAGTGAAGTTGTACACATGCTACTTTAACTTTTAATCAGATTTATGTGGTGAGGGATTTCACATACCAAAAACCAAAAGAATTGACTTTGCCATTTGTAAGTTATATATCAAACCTAATTTTGTTTCTATTGCAATGACCATAAGTTTTGAATACATAGAAAGTCATCGCCTCACGCCAAAGAATAATACCCAGTGCCCGTGAATCGTTTTATATCTATAGAATAATTAAGGACTCAAAAGCGGCATATTTATTTATCAACTGTTTCGATATGACATATTGTTTTGCATTTAACCAGAGACATATAACACCATATTATATGTCTCTGATTTTACACCCCCAAAAAGTGCCTTAAATTTCGTTTAAATTTCCAGGGTTAACGGGCATTGTTTATATAAGATTAATAAAAAAGAGAAGGAGATGTGGTACTAGAGTTTAAATGATGAGAAGTGCTTGTAAGCAATTATAGGCAAACGAACGGCCTTCATGGCCGTCCTTTATTCTGTTTTTGTTTCTACTTTGATGAATGTTAAGAATATTTTCCCCCAATATATTGAAACGATTATGGTTACTTCATTAGGTAAAATAAAAAGTAATTCCATCTATGTATCTTAATTTACACGGAAGTTTAACTATAAATATTAACCTTTTTCTAAACATATCTTTCCTGAACATGTCGGACATAGAATTTTAAAAGATGCTTAAACGGACTGCGATCTTTTTCAATTTCGCTAAAATGGTTAAGTTTTAAAATCATAAAAAATATCCATTGCCGGTCACTTTTTTTTTAGCTTACTGAAGTCTTATCTCTTATGTGAAATCAGCTTGTGTTTCAGAAAACTTCACATGTGCATCTCTAATTAATTAACTACTGATGTTGTGCAGGCATGGGGCGAATAACATTGCAATGTAATGCATTATATTACAATTACTTTGACCAAACCATGCATTATATTACAATTACAATTACATGCATTTATCAAAGTAATGCATTATATTACAATTACTTTTGCAAAGTAATGCCTTGAATTACACATTACATTTGAAAATTTTATGAAGTGAATAGAAAAATTAAACATCTTGAAAAACAACTAGAAGTCACAAAAGATTCTAGCATATGCAGCAACTGTTCCATGAATTGAATATAAGTATACATGTAAAAAGTCTATTTAATTCAGCTTTTACAATTTTAATTTAATGTTGACTTTACTTTTATAAATATACTCTTTGTTGTTTTTTTTTTATTTTAAACGAAATATTTAATTACTATGAATTACTTCCCTAATTATAAAATAAACATAGACCTTAATTAATGAACAATTGTCTAAATGGTGAAAATATTGATTGTAAAACAAACTAATTAGTGTTTTATAACAAAGTTTAATTATCTTTTATTTAAGCAAGACAAGATATTCTTTGATCTAATGACAACAATACAGTTATGCTTTTCAAATATCAATCTTTTTATGCAGGAAAATGTATGAAATAAGATAAAATAAAGAATATATTCTCATGATTAACATATTCCTAGTTAATCAAGAAATATTAAATTTGGTTTAGTTAAAACTCCAACAATATGTTAAAGATGTGGTATGTGAAAAAAGTAATGACATGTAATGCCATGTAATGCATGAAATTACACAACTTTTTGCTAAAGTAATGCATTATATTACAATTACATGTAATGCACAAATTGCTGCATTACACATTACATGCAATTACTTGGAAAAATGTAATGCATTACCATGCATTACAATTACAAATTTGCATTACCCCATGCCTGATGTTGTGTATCAATCAGTCTCGATAAATTCTTATCTCTATAGCAACTGTAAAACGCTACTGAATATTCATTGGATCAATTAATTACCTATTACGTAGGTGGCCATATAAAAGAATAGATGTATTCCGAAAAGACGGTAGAGACTTCTGGTATTCCGAAAGACTATAACATCAACCAATATATATGCGTGAAGGGTTCACGCAATAATTATTGTAAAACACAAAAGTTACAACCTACTACAATGACTACGGTTTATACAATTGATAAGATTTTAACTAATATGTCAATGATTGCGGGATTTTGGAATATTCATCGATGATAAAATTCATTACTTTCGGATAACTTTGCAAGCATATTTGTCGCCGTAAACAGGATTATGGCACCAGTAAAATATGATAAAAAATAAAGAAATATGTAAAATGATGTCTTTATCAAGGTCCGCGTTTACTTACTTAATAATAAGAATAAATTGCTTACGTGGAACCGATCTGAACAAATATTTTTTCTGTGAATTATGAAAAAATGTCAATTGAAAAAGCCATAACAGTTTTCTTTTATTTAAACATTAATCTGAACCAAAAATAAAATCTGTACACGTGCTTCACGGTAATGAGACATTCCTAGAAAATACCAAAGGGTTCGTACTAAATTATCATACATGATGAAGTGGAATTTTTTAAATACTTTAAACAAATGTTTACAGAATTATGCAGTACACACACCTCGAACTCAAAATGACTACAAGCCTTATATAAGACCGTTTTTACCATATTTAACATATCAGACAAAAGAGGAGTATTACACTTATGAAAATAGCATAAACATGAACACTCTTTATCATTTCAATGTGAATATAATTATTAAACATGACGAAGATTAATTACAATCGTAAGATTAAGTATAATCAGGCCATTGTCGTTCAGTTGCAGAAGGTAGTGTCTGTAATTTAGCCATAAACACTTATGCCCTTGACCTGCATTGTTACATTGTTACATTTTCGAACGCGCCATTGCTCAGTGAGCCTATAGTTTTCCAATATGCATCCAGTTTCATGAACTTTATGTACATATTTTAAAAAGATGAAGACACGCTAACATTTCTATACCATGTCAAACAAGGGAATATACAGATATGCTTCAACATGAATGAAAGGACATGAAGTAAGAGGTAAACGTCATTGACAGTGCAACCCATCAACACAACTAACAGACAGACATCTGTTATGTTGTGGACGTCGACGTGCAAAGATTTTAACCGTGTTACGTTGACATTGTCTTAAATACTGTACGTTCGTGGTCTAGTTTTATTTACATGTTTTTAATATTATTGGTTTATACAGTATATTAATGAATATTCTAATATGACGTGCTTCTTACGCTTTGTAAACAACACCGTGATAAAATTCTCGATAAATCTATACTTACACAGACTCAGAGATGTACATGTAAATACACATGTATCGTAACCTATGTGCAAACGCTATGCCGATTTCGCTGTGTTAAACATTGCAATTGTAATTGCAAATGTAAAACAAAAAAAACTACAGACTCTTACTTCTTATTCTGATGCATAACAAAAAGAATAAATGCATTATAGCTCGGAAAAATGTACAAAATCAAAATGAAATAAAATTCCAGAAATTCCATTAATGCTTTTGGCGCATTAAAGTCATTTCAAAACATGACGTCATACGAATAAAAACGCTAAAGCTGAAGATTTTTCCGTTACGTGAGCCCTCCAAATTTTTATAATATTGTATTTAACTGGAGTTTTAAGGTATGTGTTGTTTTATTGTATTTTCTATTGCATTATTCGCACATTTCGGCTAATTTCAGCAAGTCAACATGGCGGCTCCTTAGTTACGAAATATCAACTGTGGACTTGACGGTAGCTTACGAGAACAAACATGTAAATTAAAAATGGCAAATGTTGAGGTTGAGAATTAAAAGAATTAAACAATGTTTTTCTAGCGGCTATCTAAGAAATAATTTATGCAAACTGTAGATGTATTGAAAATTTTTAGCTTTATCTAACAGGTGGTAAAATAGAACGGCCATACACACGACATACCCATCCTCGTTTCAGTTTTTTTTAAATTACCGTATTTGTCCTGTTAGAATCGAAATAATCCATGGTAGCCATAGATAAAATTCGAATATCATGGCCCAGGCCATGTGTAAATTTCCAACAAATCTATGGCTTCCATGAAATATTTCTTAAACAGTGCGTTAAACTACATCATGAATAGTACTGTTTATAGTACTACACTGGTAGATCACAATAGCCACATTCAAACTTGACATTTATCAGTTTTAAGTTTAACCTTTTCAGTTCCAAGTTGACGTGTCAACTTCAAAATAAAAAATGTCGGTAGTGAGAAAACATTTCAACATGGAAGTGAGAAATGTCAACACCGAAGTCAGAAAATATAAACTTGAAAATAAAATTATCATAGATACCAGGATTGAAATTTTGTATTTGCGCCAGACCTGAGAAATGTCAACTTAGAAGCAAGAAATGTCAAAATGGAAATTGTAAAGGGTAAAAAATAGAATGTCCTTGCTAGTTTTTTGTAGAGATCTGAGTTAGAGGTCGCTCAATGGTTCTAATTTCCTCGGCTGCATGCATAACATATTTACCAAACCTTTAATGTCAGGAAAAAA